CCCCCCCCCCCGCCCCTCTCTTTCTCCAGCACTCATTGGAGGGGCAGGCACAACTGGCTCTGACTCTAGAGGCAAAGCCAGTTGTCAATCATGCACGATGCTATATGCTGACTTTGGGTCACAGCAGAACATTAGTAAATATACTCCTGTGACCCAAAAGAGAAGTAAAGCAAAACTTGGATTGACTTCTCTTTAAACTAGGGGAGGAATGAGCATGGAATTCCTCACTCACTACCTAGATTTATGCCCACCATCATACCGTGTTTCCCCCGAAAATAAGACACTGTCTTATATTTTTTTGGGCTCAAAAAAACACACTGGGTCTTATTTTCGGGGTAGGTCTTTTTTTTTTTAAATGTACAACAATCCACAGTTATTCATGTAAATAAATATGGTGGTCAGGGCAATCAGGGGTGCCGTACCTATTGATTCCTCACAGGCGGAGTGCCTTTGGTATCACTCCACCTGTGACAGGAGCCGGCGCTATAGAGGAGGCATCGGCCGCTGGCTTTGTTGGTACCGCTGATTCTCTCCCTCCTTTTTTCAAGTTCCCCCTTATGCCACCACCGGCCCTGGGAATGGTCACAACTAGGTCTTATTTTCGGGATAGGTCTTATATTTTAGCAATTCCCAAAAATAGTACTAGGTCTTATTTTCGGGGTAGGTCTTATTTTCGGGGAAACAGGGTAGAACTAAGAAGTGGCCAAAGATTTGTTCTCCGACACGGATTTCACATACCTGGCTCACTCAGCGCAAAGCAGCCAATCTTATCTCCATTACAATACAGAGATATCCACTTCCTTTTCTGCTCTTCTGTTGCATATTTCAGGATTGGCCCTAAATAAAGAGACTAAAGAAAATAATATAATAATATTAAATGAGAAATGGTCTGTCTGAAATGCAGAAAATAGTTAAGAGTCCAGTAGAATCTAGACAGTGGTGGAATGGGAATAGGTACATTTAACCCATACATTTTGCAAATTAGGTAAACAAGCAGCAGTTTGGGGAAAATAGCTGTTCCTGGATATCTTACAGAATGAAGGTGAAGAATATACTGCTCATTCTGGGGATGATGTCACAGAGGGGCAATGGCAAGAGCAGTCACCACAACCAAACTGGTGGGAAAGAAGATTGTGGGACTAGATTAATGCAAGTATGCGGTGTGCTATCCCCCAGAAAAACTAACAATATATCTTCCTCTGCTTTTTAGCACTCTCTGGAGCTTTAAAGAGTTTCTAAACCCTCACGTTTGTTTTTTTGCCTATATCTACTGCTAGCAAGCAAGTTTTTAAAAAACGCTTTAAACAGCGGTTTAAACTTACCCCGTTTTCACCACGCGCTCACGCCCGAGAATCCGAAACTGTTCTTGGGGCGGGCGCATGCGCAGTTCGGATTCTCGGCCGGGAGACGAGGAGAGACGCAAGGTAAGTCTATGGACGCGTGCACCCGCATGCAGACACCGTGGGACAGGAAGTGCCAGCAAGGACAGAGGAGTCAGCGCTGGATCGGAGACCCGCCGCAGCGCTGTAGGGACAGATGAAAAGAACAGGAAAGAAGATCAGATTAAGAGACATAATTTAAGGTAAGTGCTTCCACTAACATTGGGGGGGGGGGGTGGGGGGGGGAACATTTTTGACTTTAATGTCACTTTAACTGCTTGTTGACACATCTCATTAGCATCATATTGATTTCAGACTGCTGCAAGAACAAGAAACGGCTGCCAAGTGCTTAAATATCTTGGCGGCAAAATTGCCCGTGTAGCCCTAGTCCTGGACTTTAAATGCAATTTTGATCATGTTTACCACAAAGCATGGGATGGACTCTAATATACATCAATTACAACAAACACTTAGAGAACTATGGGGTTAGGGCTTTTCCCCATAGTTCTCCTTAGGGTAACAGGAGGACACAAACTAGCGTCCTCCCGACACCCTAAACTCAGTATACCGCGAGCTACTGCTAGCAGCATACTGAGACGCCGCAGCTGAAGCGGATCCCGACAATTGTGCCGGGATCCACCCAGCTGAGTGAGTGACAGCTGGCTCTGCCTATCTAGAGGCAGAACCAGCTGTACTCGCCCCCTCTTTCGTCCGATCCGCCAGTCAGCGCTGTCGGATTGGAGCGGGGAGGGGGGAATCCAGCCCCTGCCCTGTCACGGCAGAGAGCCGTGACAGGATCGAGAGGTGAGCGAACGCCGGTATGTGTTCGCTCACCTCCCGATCTACTGAGCCGACCTGTGACAGTCTCATCGTCACAGGTCGGCTAGAACTATGAGGTGAGTGAAAAGCACTCACCTCATAGTTCTCCTTTAAGCGGTGTGTGTAAATGTATATTTAGCAGGAGAAATGTTTCATTCAATCCAGTTTCTCCAACTGGATATTCTTTTACCTTTGTGACAGTTTTCTTCTTTCTTTCCTCTGTAATTTTCAAAGACCTGCTCTGGGAAAACTCTTAGCATGCCCACAATCCATTAGAGCAGAGGTGGTGTGCGACAATTCATTAGGGATGGGCAACTCCGACCCTCCAGCTGTGCTTTAACTACGAATCCCAACATTCCTCTGGGAGTCATGCCTGTAACTGTCAGTCTTGCAGTGTCTCATGGGACTTGTGGTTTACAATAGCTGGAGGGCCGGAATAGGCCCACCCCTAATGAATTGACGCACAATTACATGCGCAGTGCATGACTTGATTATTTGATCTGCTGAGTTGCTACAGACAACAATCCAATGTTTTTGTACTTTTTCTCTACTGAATATGCCAAACACCCATCTTAACACTTACATGTACAAAGTGAATAATCCATTTCTAGAAGATTCACTTTTTAACTGACACAGTTCAAACAGATTTATATTATATTCTCACATTATTCACACTCATGACAACCCCAGTGGATGCACATCCACGGCTGATTTCTTCCACGGCGATCGAATAAGCCAAATAGTCAAGACCTGCACCTCCGAGCTCCTCTGGAACTTCCACGGCCAGCAATCCCATTTGCCCCATCTGTCGGACCTAGAGAGAAAGCATTGATGCAGGTGTCACAATAGGATATATAGCATGTGTTCCTAATGCCCAAGGAGCACTTCCTAACTCCCAAAGACAATATTGATCAAAACATGGGACGCTTAGCAATGCATTTACTAACCACTGCCGTGTGATGTCGCAACATAAAAGCGGATTCATTGAGGGGAATGTATCAAAACCGGAACAGACAAAATCTGGAGCAGTTGCCCAGGGCAACCAATCACCTTCTCTCTTCAGTTTGTTCAGTTAAGATTTCAAAACGAAAGAGAGGAGCTGATTGGTTGCCCTGGCCAACTGCTCCAGATTTTGTCTACTCCAGTTTTGATAAATTCCCCCCATTGTCTGCAATAGGCTGTGTGATCAGGTTCATCTGTACAATTCTGCTTGCACCAGGAAGAGATCAGTACTGAGTGGAACATGGAGACAAAACCTACATGTGCTTTTATAACCAGTCCTTGAGTACATGAGGCCTTTATATGCTGTGAAGTCTAATAGAGTATTTAATTTAAAGAAGGTATGTAAAGTGAACCAGTGAAGAATAAAATATGGAAGATGCGGATACAGATTAGGTATTCACAAGAGCAGGCTTCAGGCCTGTCATTCTAATCCTGACTTTACCACACAGTGAAAAGAAAAATAAGGGGGGCCAATAAATATCGGAGAGCAGATATCAGTATCCACCCTTTGTCATATTTGCTTGGTTGTGATTTTTTTTTCCTATCATTTTTACTGTGATCCTCTAATTTCAGAATCATGAAGCCAGTGACCACAATGCACTAGGGATGTCCCGATACTAGTATGGGGCCGATACAGGGCATTTTAATTTGTACTTGTCAAAATGTCCCGATATTAAAAGGCCAATATCGGTCCTTTAAATTTTTTAACAAGTTCGGCTGCCTGAGGTCCCATGCCTGCTGTCTTTGACGGTGCTGGTCCGGCCCCACATCTCCTCCTCCTTCCCGACACCCACAGAGACAAGTTGTCATGGCTGCCCTCTGAACCCCTCACCCATTCAAAAGGGTCGTTGCTGCCCTCTGAACCCCCTCACCCATTCAAAAGGGTCGTTGCTGCCCTCTGAACCCCACACCCATGAGAGAAATATAAATAAAGCTACACAAGGCATGAAACAAGCGCTTTATAGGTAAGCCTGGAGAACTATGAGTGACTATTCATGTAGAAGGTCATCATGACCGGCTCTCTTAGTTATTTCTGTCCCGCATTAATCTAACAAGTCAGCAGTACAGAACACTGGAGACTAAGGAGGCCAGCACTGGGTGAAAGGACACATAGTTGGGGGAGGGGCGGCAGTGACATTGTCAGGTCTCCAGCACACCTGATCCCGCGGGAAGCGGTGCTCCTTGTCCAGCTGAGCGGCTATAGGCTGCAGCTCTCTCTCGGCGAACTCCCGGCATGTGTCCCGCAGCATGCGATGTGTATCGGGTAGCTCGACGCTCTGGTAGACGGTGTGCAGGCAGCGGACAGCTGTGGGAAGGGGGGAGATAAAACAGGTCAGTCACAGGGCAAAGGTCAGCGCAAGGTCACAACCTGCGCTCCGTGATTACCTGAGGGAGCCGCCCGCCAAGCGCGGGACACAACCATCAACCCACGGAACATGTCTGCTCTACTCTGCCCGTAGACACCGGGAGGACGGCCGCTTCAGATGACGTCAGCGCCTTAGTCCGCCTGCAGATGACGTTTCAGAATAGCCCCACCCATCAAATGCCAGTTGCAAACACATGGCACATGTTTGTAACCTGTAACTCCGCCCATTTCGGATCATTTCGCATGATCCTCCCTCGTAGCGTCTTCCCGCAAAAGTAAATAGCAGCAACCTGTACCATTCGTATTCAGTCACACCGTGTGCGGAGACCTGGACTTCTCTGTACCTGATCGACGCAGGAAACAATGGTTTTCTCTGTCATCCTTTCTCAACCAGGGTGCCTTAAAATGTTCACCAGCAGTGCACCATGGAAATGAGTGATGCCAATCCAAGGAGGGTGGGATCTATTCAGAAAAGGAGGGCAATTCATCTCCGTCCAGCATCTTCTACTGCCCTTTGCCATGCTGCCGCATCTGGGGAGTCTGATGTGATGGTGGGCTTCTGATGTTAAAAGGGGGAGTCTGACATGAAAGGGGGGCTTCTGATGTTGAAAGGGGGTCTTCTGATGTGAAGGGTTTTTTTATATTAAAAGGGAGCTCTTGATGTGAAGGGGGCACTGATGTAAAAGAGGGGGCTCCGATGTGAAGGGAGCTTCTGAAGTACAGGGGGCTCTGGTATAAAAGGAGGACTCTGATATGAAGGGGAACCCCATTTTTTGTGTGTTTTTTGCATTAGGGTCCCCCCTTAAAATCCAGGACCCTACCTGGGATGAGGGTCTGGAATGGATTTTGAAGGGGCCACACATCACTTTTTGCATTTTAAGCTGGGACTCCTTGGTGTTTTGCATACTTTTAAAGTGTGCCGTGACTGAAAAAGTTGAGGAACGCTGTTCTATGTGTTCCATTCACACCGTGACTGATCAGAGAGGTGCTGAAAAATACAGGCATTTTTCCGCAATACAAGTGAATGAATGTAAATCAAACACACTCAACACCACTGAAAGGAAAACCAATCCACAAAAGGGAAAGGGAAGTGGTGACACTGGAAATAGGGGACAAAACGTACATTAAAGCGGATAAAAATTGCACTGAAACATACATGTAAACAAATCAATTCAATTGTGGGGGGTTTTTTTCATGAGTTTTTATGCACATTGTAGTTCATTCACATATAACGCGCATTAAAAAACTGATAAGAATGCACAGGTTTGGCGTGCAGGGCTGCAAGTTAATGAGTTTTAATTAGGCATGCACCGATACCAAGTACAGATACTTTTCCAGCTCCAAGACTAGACTAGAGAAAAATGTAAAAGTTAGGAGGCAACTGTCATTTGTAAGGAGCACACGTCAATATCGTGTACAGATACCGGAACTTCTGGTAGCATAGAGCCGTCTTCCCGGGCAATCAGGAAGGCTTCTTGATTGCCCGGGAAGCCAACTCCATTCTGTTTGGCCGGCTGAATGCCGATTGGCCAGGAAGCCGGCTTCCCAGCCAAATCGGCATCGAGGCCGGCCAAACAGATCTGACAATATGGTGATACAACCTGGCACCTAATTCCCCTCACATAGATCCTACGTCGCATTAATTAACGTACCAGTCCCTCGGCCAGCACTCTCCAAGTGCCCACGTGACCGGCCTGCTACTGCGCAGAGTGCCCAGCGTTCTCATTCAAAAAATCCTGTGCATGCGCAGTAGCAGGCTGAGCACCGATCACGTGAGCGCTGTGCAAGCAGGAGACCACGGATCTGGCCGAGGGACTGGTACATTAACCCCTTCATGACAGAGGCCTTTTTTTAATTTTTTGCACCCATGTTATATTCCACATTTTAGGCCTGAAAATGACTTAAAACCCCCCAACATTATATATTTTCTGAATGCCAAGACCCTATAGAATAAAATGGTGGTAGTTGCAAATTTTTATGTTGCGCAATATTAGTGCAACTCCATGTTAAAGAATGCTAAGGATTTATGTGAGAGGAATTAGGTGCCTGCAGGGTGGGGGGTCGTGTCAGTATATTTTAAGGGTGGGGGTCGTGTCACAAATTTTATTTGTTTGCTCAGCTTGACACCGATTGGCTGGGAAGGCCAAATAGCATGGAGCCAGCTTCCCGACTCAATCTTTCCTCGCGGCACTGTCGGTCAGAGGAAATCTTCCTCTGGCCGGAAGTTCTAGTATCGGGAAAGTTATCGGAGCAATTGGGCAAGTACGAGTACTCGCCCAAATACTCGGTACCGATATCAGTATCGTTGCATCCCTAATTTCAGGACAGTGGTGGAGCGCCAGGGCCAGGTCCCAGCTGTAACCCTGGTAGTTCTCATGAAAATGCCAAGTATTGGCACAGGTATCTGAAAAGTATCGGTGCATCCCTTGTTTTAATGCAAGTGGATATCAGTTCATGTGTTATAGTCACAGCACACTCTCTTCTTTACAAAACCACTACCCTTCCTGTCACGGACAGATGCCCTTAAAGTGATATTAAAGTCAAATTAAGCGATTTTAAATACTGATGAAATCACTTACAATGAGTGCTGCTCTTTGATGTTTAAACATTTAGTTTCCTGGTCCCCTGAACATTGGGCCTGATATCCTGTTTTAGGGTGTGTTTTTTTCCCCTTGCAGGGTCCTACGGAGACACACCATTGTGTGATAGTAATCTGCGTGTCTCCAGAAACAGACACAGCAAGGCAAGACACTTGTGGGTGGACCAGACAGCCACGCTAAGGGCCCGTTCACACCAGATGCAGTGCGTTCTGGCCAGAACGCACTGCCGCGCATTGCGGCCGGCTCACTTTTTTTGTGGGGCAGGAGGGGCCCCTGCAATGAGAGGCAGTGGGTTCTGGCCAGAACGCACTGCATCTGGTGTGAAAGGGCCCTAAGGAAAATGATGGGGAGGTCTGGTATAAAAACCTTGTATAGATTTTAAAGCCCTGTGATAAGCAGCACCAAGAGGGTCTAGCGGTTTCTCATTTCTTTGGTTCACTCTTTTCTTTTCATTAACCCATAATGTATACTCATATGTGTGCAAAGGTTTAATTGTGCCTAAAAACCAAGCACAAGACTAATATATCACAGCTTACCAGTCCTTAGATGTGATGGCCGCATTAGGTTTCTTCTAAGACTTTGCCTTTGTCACTGGCAGGATCACCAGGTTAAAATACACGTCCCGTCCTGGGATGACAAAGCTACGATACAGCGTTGTCACCCTAGGACAAAACTACAATAACCGCCCCTTCCCTACAAAGGGGGAGGGGTTCTGTAGTTCCCGGAAACAATATTACTAATAGGAGTGCAGCTCAGGCAGAGAGTACGGGAATTAATCAGCTGATAGGATTTCTGGATCAACAGGTGTTTTTTGCACTTGTCAGATATAACCCATTTTTTCAAATGGTATATACACAATTGTAAAGAAATACATTTGCATACTCTTTAAAATGCCCTACCGAGTTTGGCCTGAGAACACTTCCATCATGCCCGCTGATATCTAATCTGAACAAAACTTGTGCAATTCTGACTGCAGTGTCACTAATGACACATTGATGTCCTAATAGCTATAGCCAAAGGTTTCCTTAAAGTGTATTTCCACTTTTGCAGGCAAACTGGGAGAACGCCTATTTCTTGTACTTACAATAAATGATTTCCACTTCCTGGTCCTCCTAAATATTAGTGATGTAACCCATGCCTAAGAGAAGCATCCTGCCAAGGTTACATCAGCAGTACATTGCTGGGAAATCTCATCTATCAACTACACGAGATCTCAGGGAAAGGCATTTTCCTCCCCTGAGATGATGTGCATGGTCACATGTCCTAGTCACACGTGCCAGAGTTCCAGGAAGTAAAGGAAGATGGATTAATCTGCCCTTAGTAAAAATGGCCACTGTCAGAAGACTGGGGAAGAGAAATAAAAGGTATGCAAAGAATACAAAGCCGGCAATTATATACCTGTATCTGTTTATAGATTGTCATTACTAAACATTTCTAAAGGGGACTGTTGTTAGATAGAGAGGTGACGTTTCTCTTTGAGGGGCTGTGGGAAGTTTGGTTTACTCTAATTAACCCTGTCTGTATTGTGCTGGCAGATTGTAGTTGTAAACTAGATTTAAACACTGTTCTAAGAAAGGGTTAAAGGCTTGGAGGCATAGTTTCACTTTCAAACTGCTCAGAGTAGCCTGGAATCGTCACAAAGGCCTTCACCAAAGAAACATCTCAAAGATACAAAATATATTTTTCAAAAATATTTTTGGCCATGCTGTGTGAATGGGAACACAAAACATAGAGGGTTTTTTTTTCAAATGTGACTGCAAAAGTGGAAATACCACTTTAAGTGGAAAGGCTGCTTTATAGAAGAATCAGTCAACTTGCCTGCAATGGTTGCTTGTTGTGTGAATAGAGAATAATTGAGAGATACACAAATGACTTCTTATAAACTTTATTATTACAGAAAAATACAAGATCTTATAAACAGCCCATTATCCATGGGTAGACAAAAACAAAACATTACACTATCGCAGATGCTGTACAGTCTACAAGTTTCGGCTTAGTTTTACCATCCAGTTGAACTAACTTTCAGTCAGTAAGTCAACAACTACATCTCATGTTTCTTAACCTGAAAGATCTTGGTTATGAAACAGTCCCAAACCTATAATAATGAACAGAAGTATATCTAACAAATACAAAAACTTCTCATTTCCACCCTAGAAATGTAATCCAGTAGATCCCAGGAGAAGCAGCAGATTTTCCTGCATCTACTAAAGTCCCTTTACCAAAGGCGTTTGAAGAATGTCAATACATGTCTGTTTCCAGCAGTGAAAACATGGCACATAGTGAAGTACACTTGCAAGCTGAGGATATGTTTCTAAAGCAAACCCGTCCTTTGCTCACTACCCGTGGAAAGGAAAAAAGTTTACTTTAAATAACAGACTACTTGGCAAGCTGCTTTCTTTAAACGTTAGCAGCAGAACCAAACCAGGCAGCATATTGTTCTAATACAGTATCAAACTTGCATGACCATTATTGGAATTATTTTGCTACAATGTAAGTACCAAAAACTCAGTATTTCTTTTAAAAAGGACCCCGTCACCAGTTGTGGGGGA